ACTGAATCTAATGGCCCATTGCATGGTTGGTTCATAGTCATCTTTCTGTTACAGTCTGTCCTTTGTGAATAACTATGTTACGATTATTAAAAGGCGATTAAATGGCAGCAGTTTTAAATGCTGGGTTCCTTTAAGCCAAACAATTAGAGGCTGTAGCAAATATATATATTTGAGTTAAAACTACAAAGCTGTGTAGTTTTGTTTAGATATATTGTGTTTGTGGTTGATGATTCATGTTGTGTTTAGTGAACTAGATATTCTCCTACACTCTGCAGCTGCAGCCTTCAGCCAGACTGAGCTGCAGCTGCAGCCTTCAGCCAGACTGAAGGAGGTTTTTGTACAGCTATAAACCACTGTGTGAATGTGTCATCACTATGGAAGCCCAGACAGTAATAATCTCCAGCATCTTCCGCCTGAATATCACTAATGGATAAAGTGTATTGAGAACCAGATCTACTGCCACTGAAACGAGACGGAGTTCCTGAGAAGCGATTTGATGCCCAGTATATAAGAAGTTTGGGAGGCTGTCCAGGTTTCTGAAGGTACCAACTGAGATCAGCACCAATATCTGAACTCCCTGTGGCACTGATGGTCACGGTCCCCTCAAGACGGACAGACTTGGCTTTATCTGTTTGAGTCAGAAAATTATTGGCAAACGACTCTGAAATGAAAAATAAAGTGATTTTAGTCTTGAGAAATGAAAAACAACAAATTGATCTTTTTAAATCAGAGAAACATGAACAGCACAGACAGAATTAAAAAATAAAACAAAAATAAAAATCTCTCACCCTGACTCAGAAAACCGAACATAATAATCAGAGTTATTGGAAAAATCATCCTGATGCAGTTTTCAGTGTGAGTGAACGAACGGTTCAGACCCTCAGTAGCAGAAGAACTTAAACTCTGAGGAGCAGTGAGGCATAAAATCATGCAAAACACATTTAAGGAGGCAAACACACATCTGTTCATGTGAAGCAGAAAAGGTAGAGTTGGCACGACAGTTTATCACCTGCTCACAATCACTGAGCTTTAGCTAGAAAAAAAATGTTAGTCTTCACAATATCAATCACTTTTGGGGGTTTTCCCCCGATGGCCCGGAAAAGCAGGAACATTGTGTCCCCAAGAAGACTTGACTTGAATTTCGCGGTGACCTGCAATGTTTGATCTTTGTGCATTACTCTGGTTTTTAAGTCGCCTTTTTTATAATAGTGTTTGAGACGTATATGGTTTATATGAAAGCCTGTTATGTCCCTCTGCAGGCAGGCAGACAGGCTTTCCAGAAGCTCACTTGTCTTTGTCCTGGTGGACAGTACTAATAAATAGGTCAACTGCTCTAAACTGAGGATTTAATTTATTTGGTGTCTGCATGTTTGATTTCTGATACATGATTGATTTGTCAATTCTTAATTTTGTTTCACCACTGGAAGGAGGCCCTGTTATTAGCTGCAGATCACCAATGTATTTCTGCAGTAGGGTTAACTCAAGGGCGTGTATTTGATTGTTTTCTTGTGGTTTTTTTTCAGAAGCTGAAGGCCTAACGTGTGTGTGTGTGTGTGTGTGTGTGTGTGTGTGTGTGTGTGTGTGTGTGTGTGTGTGTGTGTGTGTACGTATGAACTGGTGATTCTCTGGACTGTTGAAATCTCCCAATTCTTTGAATCTTTGGGCTGAAGGAAGGACAATACTCGGTGTATATATGCTCAATCAACAATCATTTATTTCCATACAATTCAACAATACAGAGCATTCAAACGTCCGGACGGGAGAGATGCCGGTCAGAGGTTCGGCCGCATGTCTCAAAATGGTAGCAACTTTCACAGACTTTTATAGCTTCTGACAGCCCCCACCGAGTCATAAAAGCTGCATCTTCACACGTTTTTCTAATTCTTAGCGAGACTGGCTCCTGACCTTGGCTCCCTGTTTCTTTCTGCCCTACCAAAGGTGGGGGTCTGGAATGTGCTCTATCTCCCTTCTCCCAGACACAAAGTCTCCTTTCTCTTCATGATTCAGCAATAAAACAATGTCAATAACACAGTGTGAGACATTGACAGTAAATCAAGGATACAGAGTGATGCACACTTGTCTAATAAACTAATAAGTGAATATGTTCTTCTAACTCAAAAGTATTATGAGAACTAAACTACATACACAGCACACCATCTAAACTAAAGGATAATATATGACCTACAGCTGTTAACATAATTCAACTACATTGACTATGGTCATAAAATAACATATGTTTTACTACTAGTCTCAACAGGACTCATCTTCAATTGGAATCCCATTCATCCACTGGTAAGCACAATCACTGAATCACTTAACAGTATGTGTGGAATTAAATTGGTTCTTCTATTTAAAGTCCGTTTTGTATACCCGTCAATAACTAGTTTGTTTTACACTCTGGGTGACATGTCTGTTTCCAGTGTAATGGACCGAAGTGCCATCATGGTAATTTGCATGGTTTTGAACTAGATATTCTCTGGATGAAATCAAATTATTTCAACTGAAATCCATCCATCCATCCATTTGCTTCTGCTTATCCTTTTCAGGGTCGCGGGGGGTGCTGGAGCCTATCCCAGCTGTCATAGGGCGAGAGGCAGGGTACACCCTGGACAGGTCGCCAGTCTGTCACAGGGCCAACACACAGGGACAGACTCAACTGAAATCTTTCTGGATTAATTCCACAAATATAAAAAAATATATATATTTTCATATTCAGATATGAATCTGAATGCCTTGTGCAGGATAGGTGTCCAGTAGTAATCCTGACCATTAATGCAGCAATCCAGCACCTATGAGGATGGTGAAGAGTCAAGGTGGTTGTGGTTTCTGCTATAAACCTTCTCAGTTCTCTGGAGGATCAGCTGACGTTGCAAAGCCTCCTCTCTATGGAAATGTTTTCTCTGCTCTCAACAAACAACAAAGCAATGTGAGAAGCAATACTTTTTGATATCTAAATGAATTATTATGAGATGATTTTGATCCTAACAAAATACTGGAAAATACATCAAAACTTTCAACATCTAGATTAAAATGGCAGATTGGTTGGTAAGTGTATATTTTACTTTTTAGATCAATAAAAATTATGAAAATGATCATAAATTATTTTTTTAAAAAGCAATTTGAACACAAACACTTTTATGCCAAATATTTTCTAAACTGTGAAGTTTACTGAGGAGAAAAAACATAATTTTCAGTGGTTAGATGCTTGATCAGAGTGGGAGGTTTTTGTACGGCCACTTAATGAGTTTGTGTCACTGTGGTGGACTTTTGGTGGAGGAACCAAACTCATCATTCACTGTAAGTATCTAAATCTCCTCATTACTACAAAATATTATACGATTACTATTTGAAATATGTCCTGAGAATATAAACAAGATTTTATTCTGGGTGTTTTAAATAATGTGTGTATTTGATTGGGTTTGGTCATAGTGGCTGATATTGAAAACTTGGTATCGGTAGAGTTTAAATGTATAATACAGTATCATGACTGAATGTTTATATAGTACTGAAAATGTAGATAATGCTTTGATTTGATCAATTTTATTTAACGTTTTTGTATTTATCTAATTCAATTCAATTCAATTTTATTTATATAGCGCCAAATCACAACAAAAGCTGCCTCAAGGCGACAGATGTTATTATCTGTGAATAAATATTTTTTTCACAAAATCTGAGACTGAAAATATAGCACAAGGAATTTTAAATTAAATATATGCAATGTTTGGTTTTCTTCCTGAATACTATCGTTGTTTATATTTACTGCAGGAAGAAACGGTAAAAACAGCCTTTTATAAGGAAAGCCTCAAAAGTACTCTCCGCCTGTGAGCAAAAACAAGACCAAAAAAACCCCAGCCTTTCCTATTGGTGGAAAAATGTACCATGTCGCCCAATCAAAAAATGATATGGCAAAATGGCATTTAGCTGTTTAGGAAGAGGGAAGTTTTAGGAGTGACGGCGGTGTTTTGAGATGTGAGAGATTTGCGACATTTAGCGCAAATCTTGTGTAGTTAGTGTGTAGTGCAGTCAATAGTTTTGTTGTGTGTTAGAACAATGAGGTGACTGCTGAATGTTACAGGTGTTACAGGAGGGATACACCTCCTGTTGTCAGGCCTGCAGGTATCAGGCTGTTGTTCTCCTTTATCTCATAGTGGACAGAAATTATTTTTTGGAGTGGCACAAACAATTTGTGTGGCATCAAATTTGATGCAGAACAGCTGATTGTTCTGTAAATAGTTTGAAATGTTTATTTAAAAAAACGTCTTGGCTGCATTTGTAGGTAAACAGCTGCAAAAATCTTGTTGTTTGCAAAACTCTGTTACTTTTTTGAAGTAGTAACTATATAATTAATTGCCCAGCATTGGTCATTATATACTGTATTTTGCAGACAGAGAGTTACAGGACTCTCTCCCAGACCACAGACTCATAATACAAGTCATGAAAAAAAAAAAAAAGGTTCTGTTTTCTGTTTGTTTTCTCATTCAGCTTTTTTGGGGGAAAAAAAACAAAACAATTTTTTTTCCATGAAAGCAACTAGCTTTTTTTTCTGTTTTCTCGTGGGAGGATCAGCTGATGATGCAAAACCTCCTCTCTGTGGAAATGATTTCTCTGCTCTCAACATACAACAAAACAATGCGAGAAGGAATACTTTTGGTATCTAAATGAATTATTATGACATAATTATGATTCTAACAGAATACAGACAAATAGTTTAGGAAAGATGAGAGCAGTTTTTTTAACATCTGGTTTAAAATGCCACATTTGTTGGTAAGTATATATTTTACTTTCTTGGATCAACCAGCAGAGGAAAAATGATGAAAATGATCATAATTTTTTTTAAATATATATATAGTTACATGTATTTGATGGCAAATGCTTTTGCCTTGTAAACTTTGAAGTTTACTGGGGAAAAGAGCAGATTTTCAAGGGTTAGATGTTTGATCAGAGTGCAGGAGGTTTTTGTACGGCCACTTAATGAGTTTGTATCACTGTGGTGGACTTTTGGTGGAGGAACCAAACTCATCATTCACTGTAAGTATCTAAATCTCCTCATTACTACAAAATATTATACTATTACATATTACTTATACACTGTAAACCCGAACAAGTTGACTGAACTTAAAACTTTTGTGGAAACTGATTACCTCAAAAGATTTAAGTACAAAAACTCATATCTTCTAAGTATGGGGTACTCAAAATTTGTATTTATTGTTAACCTAAAAATTTAAAATTATATTTTATATTTTATTAATTGAGCTTTACTCAAAGACTGTATACTTTAATTTCAATATTTTTGTGTTTCTTGTAGTTTATTATTTTGATGCAACACAATGCAATTATATTACAACCTAAACTCAAATTATCTGATTATTAATTAAAAGATATTTATGTTTCAATGTTTGAGTGTAGACTACTAAAAAAAAAAAAAGTATGGAAATTCAGTTACTTTACATTTTGTTTATTTAACATTTTTTCATGAAAATTTAAAAACATCACAAATGTTTTTATAAAACAACTAACATGGACATCGGCACCATAAAGTGAGCATTATAAATTCTGTGTAGAACATTTATCTTTTTATAAAATCACAAAGGACGACATCAGTCCTAATTGCATCTTTCTCAAAATACACAAAAATGCAAAACAAAAAGTCAAATACTAATCACTTTTTTTTTAAATAGAAATGAAAAACAATTTTTTAAAATGGGTACAAAGACGATCAGCTTCCAAATAACCAGATAAGGCAGTCAAGTATAGGAAAATTAGGTAAACTGATGGAGTTAAATCCACCCAAAGCCTGTAGTAAACAAAGTGCTTAAAGTGCTTCAAACAAAGTGCTCAGTAACAGAGTGCGTGTCCTAACAAACATTGCCTTATATTCCTTAAGAGCATGTAGGCAGGGGTTTCAGGGGTTTGCCGTCATCAAGCCCCATGAAGATATTTTGGACAAAGGCAAATGTGTGAACCAGCTTCCTGGGGTAGTCTAAATGCAGAGCATAGATCAAGCCAAACAATAAAGAAAATGCATCTGCAAATCTGGGAATATCATGCATCACCTAGCCGCCTTTCACCACAACAGCCATGCTTGAGGAAGTAAAATGGACTGGACTGGGAAGCGCCGTCTGTGAGAAGGGCAACTGAAGTGTCAATGAGGGTCGACTCATCCAATGCGTCCGCCTGGAATAGACACAGTATCAATGGTAAATGGCCTGTATTTGTATAGCGCTTTACACATTCAGTCATCCAGACATTCACACCCATTCACACACTGGTGATGGCAAGCTACATTGTAGCCACAGCCACCCTGGGGCGCACTGACAGAGGCGAGGCTGCCGGACACTGGCACCAGCGGCCCCTCTGACCACCACCAGTAGGCAACGGGTGAAGTGTCTTGCCCAGGGACACAACGACCGAGACTGTCGGAGCCAGGGCTCAAACCGGCAACCTTCTGATTACAAGGCGAACTCCCAACTCTTGAGCCACGATCGCCCCAATTAAATAAGTAAGGTTGGTTTGAGAGAATGTGACAAGCATGACCTGTAATCTAGCAAAACATTCAGCAGTGTAGTGGGTTACTTTGTAACGAGTTAGGGTACTCTACTTTTTTTGAAAAATGTACATTAACGTGTTAGCTTCTTGCATTACATAATTTGTATTTTTGTTATTTTTCTAAAAAAAAAAAGTAATTTTTTATTTCATGACTTTATCTCAAAAAGAAAGAAAGAAAATCTTGACTTCAGCCTGGTTTTTGGGCCACCTGCAGCATAGCCATAGTGCTGTGATACGCCTGTGCCCTGCTCCTGACCTGTGTGTGTGTTTGTGTGAGGGTTTTCTAAAGAGAGGGTATTTTGTTTGTACAATTTGGTAGCTGCTAGGGTATTAAATTGTATTTAAAAAAATCCATAGCATTTTATCTTACTGGCAGAATTTAAGTAATGCAAAAATACACTTACATTACATGTCTAAAAGAATTCTGGGTCCTCATCCCGCAGGTATACAGGAAGGGCACGAAGTACTGCAGTGCGTTTCACATTGATATCAGGCGCCTCCTAAAAAGGGAAAAGAAAAGTTCATTTAACGCAAAGTTTTCAGGTGTCATTCTTTGGGGAGGATACATGTTTATGAAACTGCATGACATCAGACTCTACTAAATTTTGGAGACTTTTCTTTTAAGATACAACCTTTCTGTCTCTTGTGACAGAGAGTCTGTTTCTTAATCATTTGACAAAAACCCTACACAGTATTTTAAAATAGTGTTCTCCAGATCAGAGCTGTAATCTATATAGAACATGGGGTTCAAAGCAAGTAAAAATTGTGTGTTTATCAGTGAAACTTTTAATTTGTGTTAATTTTATCATTATCAATATATGAAATCTTCACCTTAAGGGACTTAATGAATGGTTTCTTCTAAAAATTAGAAATGATTGAGTCATTTCACATCATATGAAAATATTAATTTTTAATACAAATTTGGCCCTATAAAAATGGAAACTCAGTAACAAAGATAATGGAGATTCTCTAAACACGAGCGAATATCACAGTAAAATTGTTGATTGTGATTTACACATTGGATGTATCCTCAGTGATTTGGTACAATTATACAACATTTTATAAGAACTGAACAACTGATGAAACAACTTACTTATGTGACCACATATGAAGTGTTATAACTTACCACAAAAGGTGAACTGTGCCACTGACCCTTGGTAGATCTGCACATGATAAAAAAAAAAATGCATTATAAATACTAACACAGCTATTAATAATTAGGGGTACATTTAAGATGTTAATGTCACAAAATAAAATAGACTGGTAGAAAGAAGTACAAGGAAATGGTAATGGGGGGAGCCATGAAAATAGATCTTTTCAACATGATTCAGTGTGACAAAGCCAGGGCATGATTTAAAAAAAAAAAAAACAGGTTGTCACGGTCCTGGGTCAGTGACCCAGTGTTTTGAGTTTCTTGTGCCTCTGAGTTTTTTGTATTATGTTCTTAGTTCTCTTTGTTGTCCCAGCGTATTCTTTAGTGTAGTGTCTTAGTTTGGTGTTCTTGTATTCTGTTTAGTTCTGAGTATTTGGTAGCTGCCCTCTGTGTTTCTTAGTTGCTCTGTCTCCCCTAGTCTAGTTTGCGTCTGTGCTAATTGCTGTTTTACTTTGAAGGTCTGTGTCTCATGTGAGTGTATCCTACTTTGCTCCCTTGTCTCGTCAGTTCTGATTTCTCCCAGCTGTGCTCTCCTTCTGTGTCTCATTCCCCTCGTTACTTCCCATTGTATTTAAACCCTGTGTTTCTCTGAGTCAGTGCTGTGTCGTCCCTCAAGCTGTGTGTTTCCTCGTGTGCCTCTCTGCAAGCTGTGAGTTTATATTTTCCCAGTTTAGTTTTGTATGCTCGTTTTCTGTGAGCAGCAATTAAAGCTGTGATTTTGAGTTCATCCCCTAAGTCTGAGTCCTGCATTTTGGGTCCAACTCCTGCCTGCCGCACAGCGATTCATGACACGGGTCTTTTAACCTAAAAATGTTTTAATGGCCATGAAGAAAGGTCTCTTCAATAGATCTTTCAACTCACCTGTGTTTACTGTCTCCACCTGAAATTAATTGCAGTCTGAATTTTTCTTCTGTCTTTTTGTCTTTGGTCTTCAGCCTTGGAAGAAAAAATAAAAATATTGAAAACCTTATCAGCACACTAAATATACAACACCTTGCTATATTTCAATTGTTTTAGATAGAAGTTACCACTGCTAGCTAAGTCACTTTTGAACGATGCTAATGAGAAGGGAAAAAGAAACCCCTGCCGAACAATGAGGGTGCTGTTGTAAAAACGCCAACTTTCTTGCGTTGGCAAGGGGTCGTTAAAATATCACTAAGACCCTTTCTTTATGTGTGATTCTTAGTAAAACTGTGTTTTAATCGGTTAAAACTGTAAAACTGACGACATAATCTATGTTTGAAAAAGAGCGCGAACAACAGCGAACAACAATTCACCACCTGGGTCTGTGCTTTTTAACACAACAGCGCATTCGAAAACAAGTTATTGGCTGCAACATATTAATATACTTGCTTTTTTACGGAAAAAATAAACATAACGAAGGTTCCGTTTTACTTACAAGTTTCTCCAAATGTGTTCTCCAGTCGCTCGAGAAGGGCAGCCATATTGAACAGAATTTTCTGTCAACGTCGTTCAGGTTAGAGAGAAGACGTCATGACGTCATGACGTCCACATGCGGAGCTCGGAAAAAAACATTTACTCAAAAATCATAATTAAGAAAGCAGTATTTACTCTTAACTTCTAAGCCATGTACAATTATAACTGTTTGAATCGTTAACCGAACAGAAAAGTTTTAAGTTGTTTCAACTTTGTGAGGAATTTTAATTGTTATATCCACAAACTTTATAAGTCAGGTAGACTGTTGGGGTTTACAGTGTATTATAAGTGTAATATGTCATCAGAATGTTTTAAACAAAATTTTATTCTGGGTGTTTTACATGATGTGATTGGGTTTGGTCATAGTGGCTGATACTGAAAACTTGGTATCAGAAGAGTTTAAATATATAATACAGTATTATCATATCAGTATACAGTATATCATGTTTATATATCGTGTTTATATAGTACTGAAAATTGAAATGTATTGAGTTAATCTGCTTTAAGTAAAGGTTTTTTTGTATTTATCTGTGAATAAATATTTCTTTCACAAAATCTGAGACTGAAAATATAGCAAAAGGAATCTTTGATTTTATTTATTTATATAAACAGTTAGCAGCATAATATCGTTCATGTCTTAAAGATCATTTGATTATTTGCAGATTAATGATTTCATCGCGGAGTTTATAGTTTATTGGTCTGATGTAGTAAAAAGGAAGTGAAACAAACAGATGACAAAGACCAGCTCTGTTTGTTTTCCATCAAGAATATAACTGTAACAACAAGACATTTACTCTAAATTATTGTAACGTTTACAAAGATTTTAATTGAGTGTGAAAACACAATTTAATTAAAGTGTTAGGTTCTCCTATTTATTACCTCCTCTCCTCTGATCACAGTATCATGCGCACAGTTAATCCACAGTGCTGTTAATCTCTGTCATGTATCATAACTGTGTAAAGCTGTTACTGAAAATATGATATGATGACTTCCACTGAAATGTTTGGCACCATGTTGGATATAACATTTTATGCTGTTGACTAAATGAATTAGTTTTCATACAGATGCACTTTAACGGTTGAGTTTACAGTTCGTTAGTCTGATGTGATGAAAAGGAAGTGAAACAAACAAATGACAAACTTTAACGTTTCCTGTACAAATTTCAATTTTATCATCATGAAAACAAATACAGCAACACATTCACTAATTATTTATACTTTTTTAAAACCTTTTATCCTCCAATTTCTAAGTTTCTCTCCTCTGTTATATCACAATATCATCATACAGTTAATCCACAGGCCTGTTAATCTCTGTCATGGATCATAACTGTCTCGTGTCAGCTATCTGTCCTGCAGTAGAGGTTAATCTATTGTTGTGTGTCTGTGATCTTTCCTCCAGCTGGCCCCATGGTCAGACCCTCAGTCTCTCTGCTTCAACCCTCCTCTGAGAAGCTCTCTGGAAGCCCAGTCACACTGGCCTGCCTGCTGACCGGCTACTCTCCTCAGGGAGCTGAAGTGAGATGGGAAGTAGATGGCACAGAGGTGACAGAGGGGGTCCTGAACAGCTTAGAAGAAGAGAAGAGTAGTCGCTACAGCAGCAGCAGCACCCTGATGCTGAGCCAAGAGAACTGGATGAACGCAGAGGTGTTCTCCTGCAGGGTGAACCATCATGACTACTGGCAGTCCAAGTCCTTCCGCAAGAACCGGTGTGAGGGCTAGAGGGGCTGCTGAAGTCCAGGACAGGAGCTTAGTGTGGGGGAGCAGGAGATACATCCCTGCTGCTCTGATCAATATGAGTTTGAAAGTTTGCAGATGAAGTTATTTGATAACAGTAACTTACACAGTGACATGTGTAGCAGCTGGATGTGAGTGTGCCTAATAACTGCCATATTAATGATTCATTCTTTTTCCAATAAAGCTTGCAGTGATCCATATTATTAAGCATTCTGTCTTATTTTTAAATATAATTGTTCTATAATTTCAGTGTTGTGTACTATAAATTAACCTGTTTGCCTAACACATGAAAAATCAAGTCTGGGAGGAGATGAAAACGGCAGGGCTGCATCTGGCCTGAACATCTGGGACAAATCAAATATGTGTTCATCTTTTGAAATTAATGGAAAAGCTGAAAGAAGCTTGTGGTCATGTAAATATATCTTTTAGCAGGATGACAATATCTCCAAATTTTACTCTTGCGGAAAAATAAATAACTTGAGTTTGATTCAGTAAATAAATGTTTCACTTGAAATTAAAACCATGAAGAGATCTAGAAAATAAAAGCTCAAAATGTGAGTGTAGAATGTATCTTAGTTAGTGTGCTCATAATCAAATATGTAAATCACTTGTACACTTGTATTGTGTTTAAGTGGTTATTCTAGTTATTCTGATTGCAGTTGAAAACTCTACACCTGCAGCCTTCAGCCAAAGTGAAGAAATTTTTTATGCAGCCATGAATCATTGTGTAAACACTTCACTACCATGGTAACCCACAGTAATAATCTGCAGCATCTACTGCCTGAAGATCACTGGTGGATAAAGTGTACTGAGAACCAGATCTACTGCCTTGGAGTCAAGATGGAGTTCCTGAGTTTGGGAGGCTGTCCAGGTTTCTAAAGGTACTAAGTCCAGCAACTCCCTGTGGTGCTGACGGTCACAGTGCCTGACAGGCTTGACTTAACAGAGTTAGAAAACTGTTGGCAAATTACTTTGAAATGAGGACTAAAATGATGTGAATCTTGAGAAAAAAACAGAAAATGTATCAGGTTAAATCAGAGAAACATGAACAGCACAAACAGAATTAAAAACAAACAAATAAAACTGTCACGGCTGCCGAGGCGAGCCGTGTGGAGTTGGAAAAAGGACCCAAGAGCAAGCAGTGTATGAAAAGATTAGTGGAGTTTATTTACAAGGTGTCAGTGGCAGGAACAGAAAACGAATAATGAGACAAACTAACGGAAACCTAAACTGGGAAAACTAAAGAGCAACTAGAAATCCACAGGACACGGGGAGAAAGGCCGAGAGACGCAGACTGACGGAGGATACAAAAACGCAGAGAGACACAGATGAATGCAGAAAAGCGCGGCCTTACATGGAGTAATACAGACGAACCGGCAACAGGCAGGAGAACACACAGGGCTTAAATACACACACCAGTAATCAGGGGATAAGAGACAGGAGGGCAACACAGCTGGGAGAAATCAGAGCTGACGGGACAGGGGAAATGTAAACTGAACACACTCACATCAGACATGAACCTTCAGAATAAAACAGGAAATTAACAGACAGAGAACCAGACAGGACACTGAACTTGACAGGCAGACTCATGAGCAGACACAAAAACACCATGGACAGACAGAGGGAACACAGAGAAGTGGGAGCAGGCAGGCAAAGAACAGAAACCTAACAAATGGCAAAATAACAGAATACACACTCGGAATGAACAAAAGCATAAGGAAACACAAAACACTGAGTCCTCAGACTCAGGACCATGACAGTACCCCCCCCCCCCTCAAGGGCTGGCACCAGACAGCCCAACAGAAACACAAAAACGGACCAAAACCAAAAAACCCCCCACGAACCAAAAAACGACCCGACCAGGGCGGGCGGTGGGGGTCCAGGACGGAGGGACACAGTCCGAAAAGGCCCAGACGGACAAGGTCAGGGGGCCGACCCGGAGGCCAAAACAGTTCAGTTCCGGGGGCCGACCGTGTGAAAGGCAGCGGCAGTGGGGCAGGTCCGGAGGCCGGCCACGCAGTAGGCAGTGGTGTGGAAACAGTTCTGGGGGCCGACCGTGCGGACGGCAACAGCGGCGTGGAAACAGCTCTGGGGGCTGACCGTGCGGATGGCAACAGCGGCGTGGAAACAAGTCCGGAGGCCGGCCACGTGGAAGGTAGTGGCGGCGTTCAGTAGGGCGTTCAGGAGGGCGTCCACGGTGGCGGAGATGCCCAACAAGCGGCCTGGCAGATGACCGACGATGTGGAGGTGGTAGTAGGGGACCTGAAGGCTGCGTGACCCCTGCAGCCCCAGGCGAAGCGGAGGCTGGACCAGACGAAGCTGATGAAGACGCAGTGGAGGCTGGACCAGACGAAGACGCAGAGGCGGCTGGACCAGACGAAGACGCAGAGGCGGCTGGATCAGACGAAGACGCAGAGGCGGCTGGACCAGACGAAGATGATGAGGATGCAGAGGCTGGACCGGATGAAGCCAAAGCAGACGCTGGACCAGGCGACGAGGATGAAGCCAAAGCAGATGCTGAAACCGGACCAGGCGAGGCCAAAGACTGAGGCCGCAGCAGGCGAGGGTGATGAGACTGCAGCTGGTGATGAGACTGCAGCTGGTGATGAGACTGCAGCTGGTGGCTGGACGGGCTCCTCGGGCCCCCCAGCTGACGAGGCAGATGGCTGGACGGGCTCCTCGGGCCCCCCAGCAAAAACAGTCTCAGAACCAGTGGGCACTGGAGCCCCTGGCACACACAGAACAGAACCAGCAGGTGCGGAGACCTCTGGCAGGAACACAACAGAACCAGCAGGCACCCGGGCCTCTGGCAGGAAGGCAACAGAACCAGCAGGCACACGGGCCTCTGGCAGGAAGGCAACAGAACCAGCAGGCACACGGGCCTCTGGCAGGAAGGCAACAGAACCAGCAGGCACACGGGCCTCTGGCGGGAAGGCAACAGAACCAGCAGGCACACGGGCCTCTGGCAGGTACAGGACAGGACCAGCAGGTGCGGAGACCTCTGGCAGAGACAGAACAGAACCAGCAGGCGCGGGGACCTCTGGCAGAGACAGAACAGAACCAGCAGGCACAGTGGCCCCTGGCAAACACATAGCAGACTTCAGCTGCCCAGAGCGTTGACTCTGCTCAGGCAGTGACAGCTGGGTGCAGTCCTCAGCTGGCTTCTTGACCTCCAGGGATCCAGAGTCAGCTGGGGGCTGAACCCCGGCCTCTGGGGAGGCCCTGGAGTGTGTCGCAGTCTCAGAACTGGCCAGCTTTTGAGGACTGTTGACAGTATTGTTAGATTTGTCTCTCTGCTTGGAGTGGATGGGCGAGGAGCAGTGTCTTTCGGGTAGAATTGACTTGTATGGTTTTACAGGTGGAACAACTGACACAGGATGCAGGGCTGGTGGCTGCTGAACAGGAGGCTGAACTGAGGGTGACTGACATAGTGGTTGTGATGACAACGGTGGTGGAATTAGAGACTGAGCTTGAGGCCGTGCGGCTAACTGAGCTTGAGGCCGTGCGGCTAACTGAGCTTGAGGCCGTGCGGCTAACTGAGCTTGAGGCCGCGGTTCAAATGAATAAACAGTCCTAGTATTATCAGAGCTGGTGTTAATGGTCTCTGGGTTATATGTCAGTTTTAGCAGACCCTGGGTTGGCTGACACGGGTTTAACAGTTTCAGAAGAACAACAGCCCTTTGCTTTCACTGAAGTCTTAAAAATGCCAACCTGGGAGAGATCGGTTACCACGAAGGTAGGTAGGCTTAGCGAATTAGCTCCCACTGACACACCCCGAACAATCCCGGAAGAAAAAGTCTTAAGGTCCGAATTGGAACTGTTATCCTTCCTACTCACCTCAGTCGGCCGCTCTGATATCCTGGGGTCCGACTGTGGCGAGGGGCGTCGACGGCGTGAGTGCTGATCCCCATTTGAAGGCTGGACCGACGGGCCGGGCAGGACACTCTCCGTCGGGTCGGGGAGTGAAGCATGAGTTGCAGGGTGGGTGGTAGCAAGGGGGAGAAGATGAAGCTCGTTCAGAACAAATTCTGTGTGAGCGGGTGAAGTGAGCTGAGCAACCAGGGGAGACCAGAAAGTAAGCGCTGTAGCCGAACAGCTATGCTTTGGCGGAATTCTCTCCCCTCATGCTCCAGCCATAGGTTAATTAATTTGTCCACTGAGTACATAATGTCCTCCCGGAGCTCCTCGGGCGGGTTGACTGCTGCTGGGTCCATAGTGGCCGGTTCGTACTGTCACGGCTGCCGAGGCGAGCTGTGTGGAGTTGGAAAAAGGACCCAAGAGCAAGCAGTGTATGAAAAGATTAGTGGAGTTTATTTACAAGGTGTCAGTGGCAGGAACAGAAAACGAATAATGAGACAAACTAACGGAAACCTAAACTGGGAAAACTAAAGAGCAACTAGAAATCCACAGGACACGGGGAGAAAGGCAGAGAGACGCAGACTGACGGAGGATACAAAAACGCAGAGAGCCACATATGAATGCAGAAAAGCGCGGACTTACATGGAGTAATACAGACGAACCAGCAACAGGCAGGAGAACACACAGGGCTTAAATACACACACCAGTAATCAGGGGATAAGAGACAGGAGGGCAACACAGCTGGGAGAAATCAGAGCTGACGGGACAGGGGAAATGTAAACTGAACACACTCACATCAGACATGAACCTTCAGAATAAAACAGGAAATTAACAGACAGAGAACCAGACAGGACACTGAACTTGACAGGCAGACTCATGAGCAGACACAAAAACACCATGGACAGACAGAGGGAACACAGAGAAGTGGGAGCAGGCAGGCAAAGAACAGAAACCTAACAAATGGCAAAATAACAACAGAATACACACTCGGAATGAACAAAAGCATAAGGAAACACAAAACACTGAGTCCTCAGACTCAGGACCATGACAAAAACAACTCTCATCCTGACTCAGAAAGCCAAACATTATAACCTGAGTTACTGGAAACATCACTTGACCCTGACCACTGCTCAGAGTAGAGCTTCAGCAGTTACACTGCGACTCAGTGTTTTCTGTTTTTGTTTTAAGTTTTATTCTGGGAATTGTGACTTTCTGTCTTGTATTTTCTCTTTTACCTCTTTTAAAACACGCACGTCCAGTGTTCAGTGTTTTGGGTTTTGCTTCACTGTTGTCTTGTCTAATTAGGTTCAGCTGTGTCTCCCTCCTGTCTGCCATTTTCTTG